CCCCCCCCCAATAGCTAGCAATCCAAAACAGTCCTGTGGGTGTTGCCTTCTGACACACGTCCGGTGATGACAGGGGGTGTGGCATATGCAAATGAGCTATGCTAATGAGTTGTGCTAATGAGCTCCTGCGCCTGTTTTTCTACGAAATGACCACTGTGTACAACATGACTCCAATTTTTTTCTTTAAAACATTTCTATGCCACCTTCCCCCCCCCCCCGATTAAGGTCCCCATGGCAGTGAACATGAAAACATCTGAACACTGAAATGGAATTTAAAATAATTCAAGAAAAACATGTGACAATCAGAACCAGGGAGGGGGGCCTATAACCGTTATTGAGGCCGGGATGGTTATGCCAAACCAAACGAAAAAGAGACAGATGTTTTGTGACATTATCATGAAAGCTAGCCTGCCTGACTTGTCAAGGAAGACAGGATTTCTAGTCTGAGGAAGGAAAAAAACCCTTATGACAACGCCGTTGTTTCAAGGAGCGGCGAGACAGACTCAGTCTTCAACTGGCATTTCTAACTGGGTCACCAGATCTAATTTTAATTCAGTCGTGGCAGCGTTCCTTGTTATTCGGGGAGACGAGCCGTAATGGATCTCTCTGCCAGGCCGGCAGCTGGGGGGAGTTAACATGCCCGTACATGAAAACATGGACCTTCAAACACTGCTGTAAATATGGGATTTTGTAGCCAGCTTGAGGAAAGATCTGTGAGATCTACGTAAATCCCAGGCCGTGAACTGGGCTGAGGATAGTTGGCAAGAGTTCCAGGGTTGCCAGTTCCCCCTTGGCCACCGAAAAGTGATTGGGGCGGGGGGCAGTGTTACCAGATGCAGGTTGGGAAACTCCTGGAGATTTTGGGGGGAGCTGGGGAGGGCAGGGACCTCAGTGGAGTCCAATGCCATGGAGTCCACCCTCCAAAGCATCCATTTCCTCCCGGGGATCTGATTTCTGCAGTCTGGAGACGAGGTGTAACTCTCAGGGTTCCCCAGGTCTCATCTGGAGGCTGGCATCACTACTGGATAGGGTTTTGCAAATACTGCTCTTCCCAGAAAAGACTGACGGATTTTGATTTCTGAACGTGTTCCAAAACGTCTTTGCTGCTGCATCTAAGCCAGTCCGTATGCATCGGGGTTGCAAGCAATGGTCCCTCTGCTGTGGAGTCCTGTGAGCAAAAATTCTACTTTCTGAACTACTGGCGTTAAAGTTGTGAGCGAGCGATTTCGCTGCCACATAAATTGGTTTGCTCTGGAGCCCTCCTTCCTGGGCTAAGACAAAAACATGTGAGCCAGCGGCTAAAAAACGGTGGGCTAGCTCACACTCACTCAGCTTAGAGGGAACACTGGTTGCGAGTCCTCTCTGTGCTCAGAGCTCTCCTTGATAATAACATTTGGCATTTAGAGCATTTCCCGAGCTTGAAAAGCCTCACGGGCTGTTATCTCTGCAACTCTGGCCCATAAAGTAAGCCAGTTTCTCGATCCCCATATGCTGCCGGCAGGTCGAGCAAAGTTCGCTTAGGATCATCCAGTGGAGCCGCTTCACCCATTTGCCTCTCCTTCATTTTATCCTCACAACAACCCTGTGAGGTACATAAGAACATAATAAGAACATAAGAGATGCCAATGTTGGATCAGGCCAAAGGCCCATCCAGTCCAACACTCTGTATCACACAGTGGCCAGAAATACCAGTGCCATCAGGAGGTCCACCAGTGGGGCCAGGACATTAGAAGCCCTCCCACTGTTGACCCCCCCCCAAGCACCAAGATGACAGAGCATCACTTGCCCCAGAGTCCCTATCTATACCTTGTGGCTAATAGCCACCGATGGACCTCTGCTCCATATGCTTATCTAATTCCCTTTTGAAGCCGTCCATGCTTGTAGCCGCCACCACTTCCTGTGGCAGTGAATTCCAAGTGTTAATCACTCTTTGGGTGAAGAAGTACTTCCCTTTATCCGTTCTAACTCGACGGCTCAGCAATTTCATGGAGTGCCCACGAGTTCTTGTATTGTGAGAAAGGGAGAAAAGTACCTCTTTCTCTACCTGCTCTATCCCATGCATAATCTTATAAACCTCAATCATGTCACCCCTCAGTCGTCGTTTCTCCAAGCTAAAGAGCCCCAAGCGCCTTAACTTTTCCTCATAGGGAAAGTGTTCCAACCCTTTTATCATTCGAGTTGCCCTTTTCTGCACTTTTCCCAAAGCTATAATATCCTTTTTAAGGTGTGGTGACCAGAATTGCACACAGTACTCCAAATGAGGTCGCACCATTGATTTATATAGGGGCATGATGATATTGGCTTATCTGTTTTCAATACCCAGTTTAGGCTGAGCATGCATGACTGGCCCAAGGTTACCTGACGAGCTTCTACAGCAGAGTGGGCATTCAACACTCTGACCGCTGCACCACACTGGCCGTCAGTCGGTCCAGAAACTCCAGTACAAGTGCGTCTAGGAATGTGTTTTGGTTTGCTCCATCGATGTTCCTCACAGCAGGAGAAAGCAGCATCTACGGAGTGGGCCTTTGCTGTACTCAGCTGAAGAAGGACTTCAGTACTCTTCAGTACTCTTTATTCAGCTCACTTCCACTCACTATCTTAGTCAACTGGAATTGCTCTACTGGGAGGTTGGAGGAGGGATGGGGGTGAGACTTTGGGTTGCTAGTAGCTAGAGGCAGGGGTCATTTCGTAGAAAAAGAGGTGCAGGAGCTCATTAGCATAACTCATTAGCATAACTTATTTGCATATGCCACACCCCCTGACATCACCGGACGTGTGCCAGAAGGCAACACCCACCGCTCAGGCTCCACTGGACTGTTTTGGATTGCTAGCTATTGGGGGGACGGGACGTGCAGATCTGTCCTCGCAGAGGAGGGAGAGCTTGTACCTGAATAAAACTTGTTCTTAACGGTGCCACTGGACTGTTTTGGGCCGGGGGGCTCTGCAACTTACCTGGCTGCTTCTTGCTCTGACTGAGGTCTGCTGGGAGCAGGGGGTGGGGCTTGTTGCATGTGCCCGCCCCCTGGGCTCTTTACTGCCGGAGTTCCGCTCCTGTGCGCTCCTGAAGGAAATGACCCCTGGCTAGAGGTCTCCTGGGACTACATCTGATCTCCAGGCGACAGAGATCAGTTCCTCTGGAGAAAACAGCTGTGTCGACGGGTGGAATCTATGGTGTCATGCCCCATTGAAGTCCCTCCCCTCCCCAAACCCCGCCCTCCTCAGGCTCCACCCCTAAAGTCTCCAGGTATTTCCCAACCCATAGATGGCAAGAAGAAGAAGAGGAGGAGGAGGAGATTGGATCTATACCAGGCCCTTCGCCTCCCGAAGGAGTCTCAGAGCGGCTTACAATCTCCTTTCCCTTCCCCTGCCCACAACAGACACCCTGTGAGGCAGGTGGGGCTGAGAGAGCTCTTGACAGAAACTGCCCTTGAGAGAACAGCTCTGAGAGAACTTGTGACTGACCCAAGGTCACACCAGCAGCTGCATGTGGAGGAGTGGGGAATCAAACCCGGTTCTCCCCGATTAGAGTCTGTGCTCCAAACCACTACACCAAACTGGCAACCCTTGGGTAAGGGGGTGCATCCACACCACCGGAGACTCCCCCCACCTTCTGAAATGCAGTATTTTAAAACCCGTAACTCATTAAAACAGACATCAATATTTCGCCTCATTAATTTCCCAGCAGGAAATCTGGTGACCAGTGTTTCCTCTAAGCCGAGTTCGTGTGAGCTAGCTCACAGTTTTTTTAGCCTCCAGCTTGCACATTTCTGTCTTAGCTCAGGAAGGAGGGCTCCAAAGCAAACTGATTTATGCAGGAGCCAAGTCCCTTGCTCACAACTGTAATGCCAGCAGCTCACAAAGCAGAATTTTTGCTCACAAGGATCTGCCGCTTAGAGGGAACATTGGTGGTGACCCCATCAGGGTAAGGTGGCTGCTACAGTCCTGCTCTGCCAAGTGAGCCACCCATGATCAATGCTCCCTCTAAGCTGTGGAGTCTTGTGAGCAACAATTCTATTGGGTGAGCTACTGGCATTAAAGTTGTGAGTGAGCAATTTGGCTGCTGCATAAATTAGTTTGCTCGAGCCCTCCTTCCTGAGCTAAAACAAAAATGTATGAGCCGGAGGCTAAAAAACTGCAAGCTGGCTCACACTAACTCAGCTTAGAGGGAACACTGCCCATGATATAGGTCTTTCAGGCCTCTCTAGGGTTGTCAACCCCAGGTGGTGGCTAGAGATCTTTCCAGACAGCAGAGTTCAATTTCCCTGAAGAAAACAGCAGCGTTGACAGGTGAACTCTATGATATTGTAACCAGCTGAACTCTCTTCCCCAAACTCCAGTCTCCACCTCCACCCAGTCTCCAAGTATTTCTTAACCCGGGGTTGGAAGGAAACCCCGTGCCTCCCCTTCTCAGTCATTCCCCCAACCCTAAAGGAAGTGCAAGGGCTGTACCTTACTCATCCCGGAACCCATGGCCGCTTTTCGCCCCTGGCACACACGCCCACAGATCACTGGCACTCCGGCTTCCCCTTGGTAACCTGCAAAACAACATAGCAAGAGGAAAGAAAACAGATACATTTGGGGCCGAGACTCGCTTTGCGCGCAAGGTTCAAGCCAAAGGGCGTTTGCCCCCGTGGAAGTGGGGGGGGGGGGGGAGAGAGCAGGCACGGTCAGTCCACTCACCAGTTCTGCCGGATCTCTGGTGACAAGACGCAGTCCGGGAAGCTGCCAAGGAAAGGAAGAGGAGCTAGTGCATTAAGGGCCATGGGAAGTTAAGGCAGGGGGGGACGGGGGGGGGGGCTCAGGTTCCTCTTCCAGATTTGCTGGATCTGACCCTACCAGTTGTGACAGGTGATCCTTGCCGACGAGTCCTTGTGGGAGGGTGCCTGGGTGTTCCCCCTCCCTTTGCATTCCCATCTCTGCTTTAGTGAGTCATCCCACACAGCATGTGTGGCCAAGTGTCCCAGGCGCTGTTGCAGTGCAGAAATCCAGACTTAAAATGGGGGGGGGG